TTTCCATCATTCATTGAATTCCTATATGTCAGAAAGAATAATTATATTATTCAAACTTAGAGGGTACTAGTATATTAAATGGAGTTACATATTATTAGTCATTACACCCATGTGGCTAAAAAAATGTGAAAATTCTTAGAAGTTTCAAAAATTAAAAATATCATGATGTTATTGTACCTCGTTCACATTCTATGTACACAAATAACTTTGAACTAAGACTTTGTTTTCTTTTGTATGTCAGAATGGCATGGGTCCATATAATGTCCAATCAAAAATTAAATTCCCTACTTTATTATATATATATATATATGAGGAAATTATTTTGCATAATATTAATAATATGGAGATTTCAAATTAGATTTGTAGGTTTTTAAAAATTTGACTTTCGATCTCGATTCATGAAGACTTGATTCTTGATCCAAACTAGGAGCCTAACCGATTTCCAGAAGTTACCCGATACATATAGAATCCAAATTCGAACCCTCAACTTAGAAATTGATTCCTGACATTGATTCAAATTCTCAATTCGGAATTTGAACGTGAGTTTAATCTTGTCCTTAGACCTTGATACACGAATTGACTCTGAATTGAAACCGACTTTAAACCCCAATTCAAGACTTAAACCCTGAACCTGAATCATACTTTTGACCCGACTCCCAACCATGATCTAGAAATCGACACATGATTTCGACTCGGGTAGAGGTTAGATCTCGGGTTGAAATCGAAAGTTGGATTTCAAGCTCATTCAAAATATACTTTAGACATTTGACATTCGAAACCTACATACTAAACCCATCTAATTAATTATTCAAATCTGCACATAATTATTAAGCCCCATGACACCGGGGATTCCATTCAAATAAAATTCTGAATCCACCTATACCTTTTTCGTTGAACGAAAACAAAATTCATTTCAAGTAGTATCTTAGTCATTTATGTAAGTTACTATGTGTACTGAAATCTCGTAGCTTTAATTGCAAGATTAATGTACTTAGAACTATTATAAACCATTGTGTATTAATTGAAGAGTCTGATATTATTTTACCAAAAATATTTGTATGTTAAAGACGTGACACCCTAACAAAGCTTCTACCCTCTACCCTCCAAAAATATTAGGTACCTTCCATTTTTTAAATCACTAAAGATGTGTTCGATACAAAGGTTTTCAATTATTCTCTGTTGGATTGATAAAAAAAATGTAGATAAATATTTTCTTTAGGAAATTAAATTCCTTAATAATAAAAATGGTTTTTCTGACAAGATTTTGACATGCATCAATTTGACTATTTATTTATCCTTATTTTAATTGAATCGAATTGAACATATCAAAATTGCAGTATACTACATAATTAGACATATATACGTGTATCGAGCACATGGTTTCGACTTGGTCTCCATGCTTAATATACGTATGTAGAAAAAACTTAGACATATTGTGCATGTTCATATTCATAAATTGACAACTACAATTACGTATGATAAGTTTCCCTTCCTCACTAGTCATTCAATTTAGGGCATGTATACTATGAATATAACTCCAAGTTTCCCACAAGTCATTTATTACATACACCCAATCACATGGCTCATAATAATAAATAAATGCGAAAGTAGAATCGAATCTAAAATTTTAATTTTACAAATTTAAGTTATCGAGTTTAACTATTAAACTCATCATTTTATTTTCTAAAATATGATTAAAAGAGAAACATAACGAACAATTTTAAACAAAAGGACTATTTAAATCTCTTTCATTATAATTCACACATTAATTAATTTCTACCCCAATTATATTTAAACCAAAATATCTTGTTGCATGAATTTCAACTTGCTGTATTCATTATTTCAGAGTCTCCACTCTCTGACACTCTTTATGCTTTTTTGGGACTTTTCGAAAGAAAAGTAGACCTAGAAAGAAAAAAAAAACGCGTTTACATTTGAGTTTGTAACGCGGAATTGTTTTGCTTTTAATAAAAAATTTCAAATTTGAGTTTGAGTAAAGGAAAAATTTATTGAGAGTGTCATTTCTGAATGAATCTTGCGCTCAGATTCCAAACAATGAATGCACTATACTCAAAATGATCTTTAACGATAATAATTTAAGTGTCACTAAATATTTATTTCTAGTATCAATTAGCACTCTTTGTATATACGTACGTATCTAAAGCCATTGACGACATTGGATTCAATGACAACTAATTAATGTTGATAAGGACATTAACATTCTTTATTAAACTTATCGCGTTTTATTTAGTATATACCTAAAAAGAATGTGTATATTCTTAGTTACCTCATTTGTTCTTTCAGTTTTCAAGTACACCTTTAGCCCATTAGATGATTGAAAATTGGGACACCAACAAATTAAGTGGATAATAATAATTGTTACAAGTGCTGGAAATAATTGAAAGTAACTACTTTTGGGTATGTGACATGAGCAGCCCATGTGCATAAAAAGACAGTAATGGCCTCCTAGTGGAAATTGTCACTCGTATATACAAGTAAAGTTCCAATGACAATAACCTTTGCCTAGGTATGTATGATGAAATAGATATGGATAAGATCTTTTATTGGAGCTATTAGTTACACGTGTAGATATATATATATATACATATACGATTAACTAGATTGTGTCTGATCTCAACTATTCTACTTGATATGTGCTTCATTAGTTTTACTAGTATCGATATCGTAAAAATTGTTACATTATAGAAGCTTAAGCAGAAGGTTCAGCTTCAAAATGGACATTTTTGGAATGCTCTCTAAAAACGTATAAATTCTCTAAAAACACGTATGTAGGGTTCAAAAATATAAGCACAAACCTTTGGGCTAATTGTGCAGCCTTTGAAACTGGGCTTTTTGAATGAACTTTGTACCAACCGTACAAAATCTGTTCATGGAAAAACTTTTGGGCCAATGTAGCCTTAAAATTTCCAATTTTAAAATAGGGTAACTTTCACGTATAGCAAATAAAAAATTTATATTTGTATGCTATAGCAAAATTTACATAAGTTCGCCCCATAGCAAATATAAAACTGTGTAATTCGTTATACATATACAATCGTATAATTCGCTGGCCTAAATTGTATAATTCGCTAGCTTATTTCGCTGCAATTGTATAATTCGCTGCCTATTTCGCTGTAATATTTGTATAAAATTTGCTTTGCATAAATTGAATCGAAGTAAAATGTATATATATTGCATAATTATAAGTGTATAGGAAGAAGATATGTGTTTTTCTCTCGCTTTGTACAAAAACAGAAACACAATATATACACTTCTGTTGTATAAAGCGAGAGAAAATTATATTTCACTGCAATTGTATAATTCGCAATTATATAATTCATTGGCCTTTTTCGCTACAATATTTGTATAAAATTTGTATTTATCTACAATTGAATTGAAGTAAAATGTTTGTAAATTGTATAATTAAGTGTATAGCAGGAAAATATATATTTTTGCATGTGTATATACAATTTTCTCTCGCTTTATACAAAACAGAAACACAATTTATACACTTCTGTGTATAAAGCGAGAGAGGCGAGCAGAGGGAGAGTGGAGAGCGAGAACGGGAGAGTGGTGAGCGAGATTTCTGGGAGAGAAGTGACTGGCAAACTTTGGCTAATGTTTGCTATGCAACACTATTAAATCAAACCGTAGCTACTCCTTTTATTTTAGGTTATTAGTTTGCTATTATATACAATTATCCATTTAAAATACAATTTAAAAATAAAAGGTAAAATTATTAAATAATAATAAGAAGAATATAATATTATAGTAATAATAATAATGATGTGGATAAGAAGGAATTTAAATTGCTAATTAGTTTTCACGAAAATCATTTATTTATTTTAATTTTAAAATTCTCTATTTTGAGAGAAGATTTAAATATATAAGGCTATTGTTTCATAATACTTCTATATATAATAGGAAAGGAAAAAGTGTCACACGCTCAGCACTATAAAATTTTAAAAATAAATTTAAAATTCATTATAAACAAAAAAAATAAGAAAAAATGTAACCTAACTATTTTAAATTTCCTGTTTTAAAATACAATTTAAAAATAAAAAGTAAATTATTAAATAAAAGTAATAATAATATAATATAATAATTAGAGTTAAGTTTTGTGCATTTACGGTGTACAAAAGTTTTTACACAATCAAGTTACTTTTAATGAAATTTAACCATGTAACTTATTTTAATAAAAATAATCACAATTAATAAAAAAAGAAAATCTACAATTTACTAAAAAAATCAACATGTAGTTGAATCATACTTGAATTCTAACCAAAATTATTTTCATAATTAAATTATTACTTTTCCGAAGTTAATTACAATTACTATATTATAGTAGGTTTTTCACCTTTTTTATAACTCTTAAGTAATTCTTCACAGCATCAAACTTTTTCACAATATTAAACATTGTCAATCGATAATAAATAATTTTTAAAGTATCAAACGATTTATAAGCTCTGCTCTTTGAATTATTGGAAAGGAGTTTATTTATTGAACTTTCACTAATATTAAATATAATTTACAATAAATGTGTTGACTATTTATATGATCTGATTTATAATTAATTGTAAGTTATCTAACATGTATAATTTACAATAAATTATCTTTTGCAAGATTAATGAAAAAATTAACTGTAGATGAACAAAATATAGGAGTTCAAGTTGCCTGAGAAGAAAGTGACGTACATGGAAGAAAATAATTTAGTTATCGAAATAATTTTGGTTAGAATCCAAGTCTGATTTTACTACCTTATTTTTTTTAGTAAATATTTTTTTTTGGTAAATATTCTTTTATTAAAATAAGTTATTATGATAAAATCTCATTAAAAGTAATTGATGGTGTAGAAACTTTTGTACACTGAAAATGTATAAAACTTAAACTCTAATAATTATTATTAATATATAAAAGGTAAAGTAACTTTTCCATAAATTTAAACCTTATAAGCGGTCATCGTAGAAATCAATGTATAAACATAAAAACTTTAATTTGCTAATATGTTAGATATAAATCTTTTCAGAAATCATGCTGAAATTGTTCGTGAATCTCAACGTCGTCGATTTGCTAATGTCGATGTTGTAGATGAAGTTATTCAACTTGACAAACAATGGCGTCAACGTATGTAATTTAGACTATTCTTTCGAAAATTTTGAGAATATAATTGTAAATACATGAGTTTTTTTTATTATTGAATATTTCAGGACAGTTCGAACTTGATAATTTGCGAAAAGATTTCAAACAGATCGCCAAAGAAGTTGGCAAGCTAGAGTGAGACTCTTGTTTTACATTTTTTTAATCTCTCTTAAACTGAATCATATATTCATTAATAAAGTGTTGTGAGAATGCGAGTCAAAAAATTGAAGACGCTGCAGAGAAGAAGCTTTTAATTGAAAAAAAAGAGATACAAGTACAAGAGGCTCGAACCACTTTGTATTCAAAGCTGGAAATCATTGGTAACCTCGTGTACCATTCAGTCCCAGTTAGTAATGATGAGGGATGGTGTATATATATATATGTATGTCCATTTTGCTGTTTTGTAGTCACATAATATTCCTATTTTTTTTAAGGCAAATAATGTTATAGTTCGGACCTGGGGAGATAAGCGGACTGAAAAGGGTCTTAAAAGTCATGTTGATCTCATCAAAACGCTTGGAATAGCAGATATAACAAAGGATAAACCGAATTCTTCAAATTAAGTTGAATATTCAAATTTCACAAAGCCTCAGATTTGTTGGTTGATTCTATAGGTGCAAATGTGGCTGGAGGAAGAGGTTACTATCTGAAAGGAGGTGGTGTACGTCTTAATCAAGCGTTGATTAATTTTGCACTTGATTTCTTGGAGAATAGGGGATATACTCCATTGCAAACTCCCTTCTTCATGAGGAAAGTTATTATGGCAAAGTGTGCTCAATTAGCTCAGTTTGATGAAGAACTTTACAAGGTATATCGAATGCTTCCTGTTTAAAATTATTGATGGCAAGACATATATATATATACCTCCTCATTTATCCATTGATAGGTGAGTGGTGACGGAGATGACAAGTATCTTATTGCCACTGCTGAACAACCTCTGTGTGCTTATCATTTGAATGATTGGGTTCAGCCTTCACAACTTCCGTTAAGGTATTGAAATTAATGTAATGGCACCAACTATTGCCAGTCAGTTAGCTTTTATGGACGAACTAATCTATGTCGTCGTCCACCAGGTATGCTGGATATTCTTCATGCTTCCGCAAGGAAGCTGGCTCTCATGGTCGCGATACACTTGGAATTTTTAGAGTCCACCAGTTTGAGAAAGTGGAACAGTTTTGTTTGACTAGTCCAAATGGCAATGACTCGGAGGAATTCTTTCAGCAGGTAGATCTAATGGATGAACATCAATCATTATATTCCTCTCACTTCCTTACCAAATCATTTGGAAGGGTGGTACCCTGCATCATCAACTTATAGAGAGCTTGTGTCATGCTCAAACTGCACAGACTATCAGTCTAGGAAATTAGAAATTCGGTTTGGACACAAGGGTAATGATCAAGGAAAGAAGTATGTGCATCTATTGAACTCCACCCTTACCGCGACAGAGAGGACGATGTGTTGTATACTTGAGAACTACCAAAGGGAGGACGGAGTGGAGATTCATTCCTTTCTCCAACAAAGGGAATTGAGTTCAACCAACTTAAACAAGTCAATTGATAGAATAGGTTAATTTTTTCTGTTTTCTTTGTACATTCTCTTGCAAAAAGTTTGATAATAAACATAATTTAGAGCTCATATTTTTGCAAGTATAAATTTGAAATTAAGTAATTTTTTATATTAATTCATCAAATTAACTAATCAGAATAAATTAATTCATGTTCATTTAAGGAGCGTGAAACCTAAAATGAAGGGGCAGAGCCACACATTGCTTGATGATGAAAAATTACATTGTATATAGAGGTCAAGTTTTGATTTGATATAAATATATATAAAAGTATTGACATCTCTTGAAAAAGTGAAAGACTTGATATAATAGTTAAGTGTTGCAAAAAATTCTTTAAGGTTTGTGTGTTTAAGCCTTGTTAGTTCATAATTAATTTTTTTTTTACTACAATCATTGTCACCTTTCCTGAGAATCCTACATTTGCCATAGGTAAAATGGTGACAACTAAATAAAAACGAAGAGACTGTTATAAAATCAAGTTATAAGAATATAATCATAAAGAGAAGAAGATAAGAGAAGTAGATAGAAGAAAATGAATTTTCTTCTTATTCAAGTGTATATTACAATGATGAATGATATTTCTATTTATATGTAGAGAAATCAACCAAAAGGTCATCATAATTAATGTCATATTAGTAGATACATTTCTATCCCAGAAAGGTTCATATCACCTTGGGAATACATATCCATGATAAGAATAAGTTTATGATAAGCTTAATGGATAATCCACTTAATTCAATGTATTTATAACAGAGACGATTAATGAATTTATTGGTGAAAATTAAAGGTGATACGTGTTTTTATAATGTGAACACTAATTAGTTGAATTATTCTTAATAGCCATGTATAGCTGCCGGCGTGACAATATTAAATTTATAGTTTTTTTAAAAAAAGTTAGCGTTTCACCACATATTTTAAGATATCATCGGTAAGTTGTTTTTGGGTGAAGCTTCACTATGCCTTATAGATTTTAAAAGAAATATTTAATATTTAAAAAAAATATAATCTATACTCATAAATTCTAATAATCATTAAAAAAAATACTCATAAATTTATATCATCATTTTATAATGAAATTATTCCATAAAATCCATGAGAAAGAACATTATTAATTTTTTTTAAAAAAAATATCATTAATTTAGATTGAAAAACTCTAATTATTATTTATAAATGAAAGTAAATTCATAGAGAAAACTCGAGTAAAAATTATATTAAATATATATATATATATATATAATGATACATTTATGGCATATAACAAATTAGGAATGAAACTTAGTTCAGAAATCAGAACTATAATAACTAATAAATGATTTTATAAAAATATAAAATTATTTAAAAATTCTATAATTTAGCCGACATTCTAATTCTAATTTTTTTTTCTACAACTTAATATATTTACCACTTCAATTTTCCTAAATATATATGTAGTGAAATGGGGCCATAAATTGAGTATGCTTAAAGAAGAATATTCCAGGTAGGATTTTAGTTTATAATGATTAAGATAAACGTGAGAATTATACGGATCTTGCCAACCACCATCACCACTGTTTGGTCGTCTGTCCACCTTTAACAAACTCTATTATTCCGCGGGATATCTGTCACCTCTATTTCTTTTTCGAAATCGGAAATTTATTTTACGCTGAAAAAGTCTTCCCTTACTGTTTTATTCACTTCATCTCAACTATTATCTTTTCATTACACCCCTCACCAATTCTGAATTCATTCAATTTTAGGTATGCAATTTTATTTTTTCATATATATGTGCAAAGATCTGTTTTTTTAATGTATTTTTGCTTTAATTACTGAAAATTGTATGATAAACAACATACCTGGTGTAATCTAACCTGATGGAATGGATTCTCGGGAGGGTAGAGTATATGCGAATCTTAATTCCTGAAGAAAAATAAAAGAATTTTCATGTTAGATATAAGACTAATAATTGAATTGTGTTAATGGAAGTTATACTTTGTTGTGCCCTAGAAAATGGAGGTCAATGGAAGGAAATAAATTAAAAATAGAGTTTATAAAGGGGGTTTGGATTGTTTTTGAATCTTAGAGCAATTGTAAAGTTTGTTTCTGTATGATCTATTATACGTAACTAACAAAACCCTTACATTAGGGGGATAATGTAATTCCTTTCGTGTTGTGGTCTTTAACTGAGTAATGATTGTGTACATCACACTTCTTGGGGGATGTTTTGTGCACTGGGCTACCCTTTTACGTTGTTTTTTAATATGTCATCTGCATCAACATTAAACTGTATTTGCCTGCTGAGAGTCATAATTACTCATGTTGTGTTGGGATTGTTGACAGAAGAAGTGTTGAGTATGTGTGTTGTTGTCCAAGATAGGAATGATTTATTGGCGTAATAACAGTACATGTACTCGACAAATGCCTAAAATTCTGCTATCAACCTAAACATACATGTTGCTAATGTACAAAGGCTAATAAAGGGTAGTGAATGTTACTAGGCTTAGTTTCTTTTATAGAATGTATAGAAAATGTGTGCTTATATTTGGTGTAGTATTTACTGTTAGGGATGTGTAAGAAAGCAGAATGTCGAGAACTTTTGGGCTTATATGGATACAGAATGTGTATTAGTATGTTGGCTGTGACTTGGCACACTAATTTCCTAAGAATCATCTCAGAGATGAGTTGTACACGTACGAGTCATCAATGTAAGTTGTTAGAAGTCTTGGCTCAAGTTATTCCATTTTCCATATTGTCTCACGGAAGATATAATCAATGATCTTCTAACTGGATTCTCGACTTGGAAACGTTTAACTATATATAGCATCCTGTACTATTGTAATATTCTTTCTGGATTTGCTATGATCCTAATAGTTAGCTAAACACCATTCCAGCAGACTCTTGGTGTCCTAATCACTTTCTGAAACTTTGGCAATCACCTATCTAACTTAAATTGATGACACTGTTCTGATAGGCCTTTTCTGTTGTCTTACTGCAGATATCAATTCCAAGAATTGTAGCACTCCATTGACGTGGGGCCGCACTCGATGGACCCCCTTTATTAGTGATTGAAGGTAAACGTATTGTGAGTGCATCTTCAAGACTTTACCAAGCGCAGGTCTTTAGTAGTATGACATAGTCGCCTTGAGTACCGAACCAAAGCAGGATGGAATTACAAGAGACCCCTGCTTCTGCTATGAAATCAAAACACTTTCCTCTGACTCCTTTTAGAATTATAAGGGGTGTGATATGTTTATCAGTTCTTCTTTCAACTGCATTTGTTTTCTTGATCTATTTCGTGCCTGTGGCAGCTGTACTCTTGCGCCTCTTCAGTACGCTTTATAGTAGGAAAGTTGTTGCGCTTCTGTTTGGTCTTTGGCTTGGATTGTGGCCATTCCTATTCGAAAAAGTAAATGAAACCAAGGTGGTATTTTCTGGAGATAGAGTTCCGCCAAGAGAACGTGTACTGCTGATCGCCAACCACAGAACAGAGGTAGATTGGATGTACGTGTGGAATCTTGCATATAGGAAAGGGTGCTTGGGCCACATCAAGTATCTACTCAAGAAAAGTTTGATGAAATTGCCAGTCTTTGGCT